TTGTTATTTCCTGGCTGCATTTATTCACACACAGTTCACGAGTAACAGAATTTAAGACCAGACTTAATTTCTTAACTCAATTTTATGATAAGTGAAGATGCACAATCAGGTACAAAAAGCTAATTTCAGTTGCGTTAGGGAAAAACTTAAAAAACATGGAACATTCCTTAAAAACCAAAATATACACCTTAATAATTAATACACTGAGATGACATGAGACATGGAGGCAAGCAGAGGAGATGGTATAGTGAATCTGAGTTTACTGTAAAAATATTGTGAATTATGAATTTCTTTCTTTTTCCAACTTTTCCTAGGAATTTTAGGAATGATAAAGAGAAATCAATCTTAGTTATTATTTGAACATTTATAAATGAATGTAAAGATAAGCAGATGAGCAAATTAACATTCCCATAGAAAAATAAACTTTTGAAATTTTTTCCTAATTTATTTCAGATATGTGGCTGATAGGTAGTTGTTTGTAGAGGGAGGTCCACAACAGAACAGATGTCTTCTGAATGTGCTTGAATGTCAGGGGAGAATGAGTGGACTGGGGTTGTGAGTATCCACCCCATGGAGTAGCTCACACAGCATATACATTTCCTGTGCAACGCCCACAAGAGCTTTTATCCAACCTAGGGAAAAAGGCATTCATATTGATGGGATTAAGGCCAAGCTTCTCCCTGACTTGTGTTTCAGAATAGACTGGGAAAAAGATGATTAAGAATTTGTTTATCATAACAGACTGGAAGTAGTATATCACTCCTCCTGCAGCAGTGATTAATTGGTTCTGCTGACCTTGCCATACGCACATGCAGGCACAACTGATCTCATCAGCCTGTGGCACCCGCTCCCAGGGCATTGTGCAGGCAAGCACGACCAGGGCCACCACTCCCCATGTTTCCCCAGGGACAGAGCAGCCAATCTCCCTTTTTTTTTTTTTTTTTTTTAAACATCTGTCTTCTTTCCCTGCTGCCCAGCTGTTCAGAGAAGGAGAAATATCCTCTATGAGAAGTTACAGAACTACAGAATCGTAGGGCTCGGAAGATACCTCTGGAAATCATGGAGTTCAAATCCCTGCTAGAGCAGATTCCCTACAGTACTATACAGTAGGTTACACAGAAAAGCATCCAGAAGAGTCTTAAATATTCAGAGAAGGAGAATTCACAACCTCACAGCAGCTTGTTCCAGTTTCTGTCACTCTCACAGTAAAGTTCCCCCCCATATCCCATGTTACTATGGAACTTCGTGTGTTCCCATTTTTGCTGTTCGTGCCTGTCCTACTGCTGTACACCTTTGAAAACAGCCTGGCCCCACTCATTTGATTCCCACACTTCAGATATTTATAAACAGTAATGAGATCCCCTCTCAAACTTCTAGGTGTCTCAGCCTCTTCTTGTATAAGAGATGCTGCAGGTCTCTAATTATCTCTATAGACCTATGATGGACTCTCTATAGTAGTTCCCTGTCTTTCTTCAACTGACTAGTTCAAAACTGAACCCAGATGTGGCCTCACCAAGGCAAAGCAGAGGGGAGGATAACCTTCCTGACGTCACACCTGCAGAAGGATCTGCAGAAGGGCTTTCAGGGGTTATCATCACTCATTTTTCAGGGAAGCTCAGGGGGTACAGCTCTCTTTGTTTTCTGCTCGTGATGTGAGGAGGAGATGTGCTTATAAATGGGAACACAGCCTTTTACACAGTAGCTTGTAAATTAAAATCAAGCAAAAATAGTCAAAAAAAAAAAAAAAAAAGTAAAAAAAAAAGGCAGAAGGTACTTTCATTTCTTATGTACTGCCATTGCTCAGTTTGTCCAGCTCAGAAGAAGACTTTGTCATGCAGAGTTTGTTTGTAGTTTAAGGAAGTGAAGAGGAGGTAAAGATGGAATTTCCCTGTTTAAAAAGATCAGAAATTATCTAATTATAGCAGTTGCCATTTGGGCAAAGAAGCCTCACATTACAAAGCAATTTTGTAATAAAAATCTAATCCAAATGTCAATGTCACAGTGACATTAAAATAAAAATCACCACTGTTTAACTTACACGTTATGTCTCATTAGGTGTTTCTACTTTCTCATTTCTCATATATGGGGGCTGGTGAGAATTTTAGTGGGTATGAAAAACATGCACCAGCAGCAAATATCCTTTGCAGGAAGGTGTGATGCAGCAACATAAAGCAAAGAAAGCAGAAAACAAACTTTATTCAGCACAAGGAACAAAACAGAGCACCTCTATCTCTTAGTTCTGCTTGTAGGTCTGCATGCCTGCTAAATTCAGGGAATTAAAATCAGACAAAATTCCTATGTTAGTCTCTGTAAACTGGGGAGAAGCTTTAAGAGGTAGCAATTACTTCAACATGTCAAAATAACCAAAAATTGCATTTGATTGAATATTTGATAATTTTATTTACATACAATATATCCTTAGCTGATTCAAGGATTACTTTCTGGTAGCCATCAATGTTGGTCTGTACAGAGCACTTAAAAAATCATATTTAATATCTTGAACTATACAGTCATAACTACATATCAAAAATAGAACACTTTGGAAACTTCTAGTTATCATCTGTTTGTCCCATGTAAATTTGATTTTAAATTTTGCTTTATAATAAAGTCTAAGAACTTTCACCAATAAAAGTAAGGGCTGAGTTCTTCACATAAAAAAAAAAAAAAAAAAAAAAAAAAAAAAAAAGCATGATTATGTAAGTAGCTGGAGCACTAAGAAAATTAATGTTTAACAGGGAATGATGAGTATGAGACACACTAAGTTGACTCCCAAAAGAGTATTTTGTGATTACTTCTTCTGACGTTGTCCTAGCAAACTGCAGTTCACCCTCTGCCTCAGTTTCTCAGCATGCCGTGTGAAAAGAGGAATCCAGGACTAAGGAGAACTAACATAAAGAAAGCAAAATGCTAGCAGTTCAGTTGGCACAATCTGGAGAAATCAGAGAATATGAAATTTCCTGCAGTGTTTGCAGCTTAACCAAGACGCAAGTTAAAACAGTCCATTAACATACAGAAAATACAGTAAATCAGACTAAACCAGATACACTGCAGGAACCATAGAGTGATATGTGTTGTCTTCTAATGATTCATGAAAAAATTAGCTAACGAAGCTACATGGTACATGAGCCAAGATTATTAAAAAATAATTTAAAATATAGAAAAATATTTCCTCGTGTTCCAGGCCACACTGAGTGCCTAACTCTCCAACTTCAGCCACGAAACTATGTAGTAGGTTGGAGCATCTGCAACCAGCCTCATAGATACCATGACTGCTGTGAGGTGAAATGGGGATATAATGCAGTTTTCCCTTTCTATAGAGTTTTTACTAAATTTAAAAGGTGTAATACTTCTGTTCATACAGACAAACTAGAATAACTCTGAGATCACTTCATTCCCCATAGCGATATAGGGAAAAAAAAAAAAAAAAGTCCTTTTGCATGCACTCATAAGAAGACTTTGACCTTACTACAACGTGTTTCCAGTTGTTATCTGGGTAAACTTTCCTGTGACAGATATAAATGTGGTTAATGAGATTTTAAAACACGTTTCAGAGTAGTTCATTTAATTACATTACACTGACTTTGAATGTGACCTTTAAAGTCCACTCCCTTCAGCTGCCTTCTATAATCACTTGAGAGCTACCTAACATTTAAGAAAAAGAGAGAACCATATGTTAACGCTGAGGAATCAATGGCCCTTGTTGCTTTGTCTAATTGACCTCGCTATGGCATTTAAGACTGTAGCAACCTTTACTGAAGGAACAAAACCTAGGGATAAAGATGAGAATTTTTCCACAGGACCGTGTCAAAGAAGTATAGGAAGTTTTGTATCATAGATGTGTGCAAACAGCCTCAGGGGTCTTTTTTTCTTGTTAACACTTTTACTCTCTGATAACATTTTCAGAACCAGGAGGTTCAACTGCTTGCTTACTTAACTTTATTTATTTTTGCTACATAATCTCTGTTCCAGAGCAAGAGAAAGTTTAAAGGCTCTCTTTTACTGGAGCATCTGAAAACTCCTAGACTTGAAGGGAGACAATTTTGCTATTTCATTCTTCATAAGAACACTGACATCCAAACTTCAAGATTGCAGTGGGTCTCTGTCACCTTGAGATATCACAGAGCAAAGTAGAAAACAGATGAGAAAAGATGGCAGTGGCATTCTTATTTCTCTGGTCTTTTGTTTTTTTATGGTAAGGAGGGCTTACCGCAGGTTGCCCCAAATAGCAAGCTACGTGTATATTACTAAACAAGAGAGGATCAGGGAATAAGAGGTGATAATTCGTGATGATTCATCCTGTGATAGCTGCTGGTAGAATTTTGGCCCATGCTAAATAGCATTCACCAGTAAATCCCACAGAGGATTATTTGCAGTAGATGGTACAGACAAGACTGAAACATTTTTTTTCTTCCTTTAAAACGACTCCCCAGTAGGATTTAAGTCCCAGGGAGTGATGTAGTGAATCCAAGAACAGCAAGTTTTCTTGTTCTGCCTCGCCCTGGAATGCAATAAAGATGCATAGCAACCTAGTTTTTACCTTAGGATACCTTCAACTCTGAAGTAAATAGTTAATTGAACGGTACGTAACCTTTAAAACAATTTACTACAAGTGATGAGGTCATTTGTGATTAGTTTTTTTTCTTTCTGGAGCATCCACTATCCTAAAAACAACTAGTGGCAATGTTTCATTATGACCTTCCTACTACTTTCTGCTATATATTTAATCACCTGAGCTTGTAACTCATAGAATAGCAGACTGTATACATATAGGAGGACAGCAAATCTATCTGAAAAACTGAGATACTGATTGGTTACATTTCTTTGAAAAACTGATAGGCGGATCCTACATCTTTATTAGTGCATCTCCAGTCAGAGTAAGTAATACCTGAATCCATTTACATCAGAACATAGTTTAATATGCAAATATATGATAGCTGCTCTGGAAGTAATGCTTTCCATTTGTTTTTATGTTGGCCCATGACGTCAGAGGCTGATGTTGGTGGTACAGCAGTAGATGTTGAATCTTCCCACCAGTACCCCACCACATGTTGCTGTGTGACAGATGGCAGCAAAGGTGCAGTCTGACAAAATGGCATCTGGCATGGAAGTGTGTAAGAAGAATTGGTGTGTCACTGAATTCCTCCACATGGAAAAAATGGTACCCACTGACATTTGCTGACACTTTCTGAACATTTATGGATACCAAAGAGTGGATGTGAGAACAGTGAGGTGGTGAGTGGTGCATTTCATACAATAGCAGTGGCTCACTTCTGCAGGTGCAGATATTTATGAGTGTGGCATGCAGGCTTTTGTTCACTGCCGACAAAAATGCATAGCTAATGGTAACTGTCTTGACAAATAGTGTTTTGTAGCTGAGAATTTTCTGTATTGAATAGTATTATTTATTCTTTGTATCTGTCAGAGTTTCCATGAAAATAAATAGCATCACTTTTGGAGCAAGTGACATACATCATCTGTGCTTGATTATCTGTTGATGATCTGTTGACTTCCTCTGAATACCCCTGCTGGGTTTATGCCTTCCATGTGTGTTTTCTGGATTTCCTGCCCTAAGCAATTGCATAAACATTCTTTTTGAGCAATTTGTATAGATAATCATTACTAAAATTTACAGCAAGTGGGATATTTTAAGAGGCTAAGAATCAAGCCTTTCATAGATTTCATTCAGTCTCAGAGAACTCACTTCATTAAAAATAGTAGAATGAGCAAACAAAGAAGTTTAAGTCCTCTCAAAAGTATGATAGGAGAGTATCACACTGAGCAAAGTCCTCAGGACAGAATCGTTTTCCAAAATTGTACCAATACCCAAATGTGATAGTAATTTTCTTGGCAGAGAAAAGCTATTGTCTTTCAGCCAAGCCAATTAAATATATTCTGTGATTACTTACCTGCCACTAGGAAAAGTAATGCTCAAGTATTTACTCTAGACGTCTTTTTTTCTGGCCTTATTTATGTTTTGTCCCAAAGATCTTGAAATCTTCAACACCAGGTGCTCCAATTCTTTTGGTTTGTAATCCATACCTATTCTTTTATGTTCCCAATGGAATCTGCACATAGTTATTGTTGATCCCCTACCTTTGGTAAATGGGAACTTCTTTGGGGAACAAGGTAGAAGGCATCTTTTAAATATCAAACCTTGGTAGGAATTGATTTCTACACTGCCTTTTTTACTATTGCCTCTTTTCTCAATTTTTATTTATTTCTGCCCTTTTCTCAACTCTCATAAAATTGACAGAACTCACCATGTGTAAAGGACATTTACCACAATATATTTTGCAGTTTTCTTATATCAGTATAAAATTACTTCTACTTTCTAGAAAGTTAAAAAGATAAATTTCAACTTCACCACTTGCTAGAGCCACCAATGGAACAAATTATTTGCTATTTAGTCTCATGATTACACCTGTAGTTTCTTCAGTCTGAATGCTATTTTTAGTGTTTGCAATGATTAAAACTACTACATCGATTGCAGAAAGTTGTCATACTGTAACTTTTAAATATACTTATTTGATTCAGCTATATTTGATGTGTATTTTTTGGGTCAAATTAAGAGTATACTTAAGCACCAGATCTATATTCTAGTCTTACCTCTATATAACAATTTCTTTCTTATGGAGCTATCACGCAACAGATTGACTATATTATATCTAACACGTCTCCACAACAGAAGATGTAATTTGACTTGCTTATATTTAATTAAGTACTGCATGTGAAGTGTGTTAGGTTTAGGACACTATTCCTATTCCTATTAAGCTCACAATGACCTTTGTGACAGAAAACTTTTCTGATAGATTAGACAACCTTGTGCAGATGTTCAAGCTAGATTTTACTTATTTTTGTACCAGTTTCCTTTCATCAGAAAATACATTAAATGTTTTTGAGCTTTTTTATTTATTTGTTTTAGTTCTCCATTTCGTGAACTATATTCTTAATTCAATTTATCAATGCAGCTATTCCCTGATATAGTACTAATTATCTTACTATTGTTGGGACAGTTGCATATTGGTGTCAAGAGAACAGTTTCAATACTTCTTCAATCTACAACAAAAAGAAATCAGATAATATATCAAAAGCATATTTATCTATACATAAGCCTTGTAAATAGTTGTGCTCCTAAAGGCATCAAACATCCTAATTCCATGTACCCCAACTCAGTATGACAGAAGTCTCACCAAACTTGAATCTTCATCATTGTTCAGCCACAAATAAAATGGAAACTATGCCTTTTACTATGAGTTAGACTATGCCAGAGTCTAATCTCTGTCTGAATAAGAATGTAGTGCTGGGAATTTCCAAATGCATCATATTTATTTGTAAACATGGAAATTTGGGCCTTGCTGACTTGGAATACCATGAGAACTCAGATGGACAGCTAAACTTCAGCTCTCCCAGTCCTCAGTCACTCAGACACCAAGAGCTACTCAGTCCCTGAGCACCAGAATTCTGCAAAGAAAGAATTCCTTTCCAAAGAAACAAACTGAAATTAAGTTCACATCTATAGGATTAACTGAATTTTGCTTTCTTTTCAGGAACTGTATTCAAGACATTTCTCGCTGTGGGAATGAAGGTTTTTTCTTAAACTAGATTGCTCTGATGTCATGGGATTGGCAACTAAGTAGTTTTTTTCAATTTAGGACTGATAAAATGTGAATGTCTGGCAAATCCAGACTGCTCAACAAAGCTAGGAATAGATTCAAAATAAGATCTGATAAATGTAATGAAGTAGATGCAGACAATCTCTGTCCCCTTTCCTTTCTGACATCCATGTGCATGCTAACTGCTTTTATGTTTTTGAAGGAGCTGATCTACAGAACAAACAGGACTTGGATGGGTTCTCAACATAAGTTCTCAAAAAGGGAACTATACATCCACCAAAGTACCTCTTTGTACTATATTTAGTAATTATGCATGTCAACTTCGAATAAAAATTCCTACACCATTGCCCATTTTTTTACTTAAAAAAAAAAAAAAAAACAGCAGCAAAACAGAATCATAGAATCCTTCAAGTTGGAAGGGATCTTCAAAGGCATCCAGTCCAGCTCCCCTGCAAAGAACAGGGACATCCACAGCTAGATCAGGTTGCCTAGGTTCTGATCCACCTGGTCTTGAAAGTCTCCAGGGACAGGACAGCGACCATATCTCTGGCAACCTGTTCCAGTGCCTCATCATTCTCACTATAAAAGACTTTTTCCTTATATCCAACCTAAATTTACCCTCTTTGAGCTTGAAACCATTTCCCCTCATTCTATCTCCACAGCCTTGCTATGGAGTCTGAACCCTTCTTTCCTGTAGCTCCTATCAGGTTTCCTCGAATAATTCCCTTCTCTAGCATAAAAAGCCCCAGCTCTTTCAGTCTGTCCTCATAGTAGAGATGTTCCTTTTTTCCAGTCATCAGGGACTTCACCTGATTGCCATGACTCTTCAAATACTGTTGATAGTGGCTTGGCAACTACATCATCTAATTCCCTCAGGACTCTGGAATACATTTCACTGGGACCCACAGACTTGTGGATGTTCAGGTTCCTCAAATGGTCACAAACCTAATCTTTGCTTACATCTGAGCTCCTGCCAAAAATCATTTACAAGGCAATCAGGCAGCTCCCAGCATTTCCAGTATATCTCTCCATAACAAGATTTTATGGCAGAACATGTGGCCAAGGCCAGTCTTACTGATGTACGTGTTGAATTTCTTACCTGGGCAGATCATAACATGCAATTAGATCGTAAAAGACATTCCCAGAGGAAAAAAAGCCTTGAAAGCTCTGTTATGACATTGTGCAAAGAAATATGGCTCCCACGCTTCTCATTAATCTTTAACCTTTCTTCACATTACAAGTTAAATTAGTATAAATGCTGATGTGGTATATCTTTTCTGTTTTTACTTTTAGAGCCAATAAGGACTGTGGAAGATTCAAAAAAATCTTGCTCCAAAAAAAGCATCATCGTGATTAAAATATCCAGCAAGAACTGTGGTTAGTGTGAGATGTAGTCATATATTGCCTGCTGTACTTCTTCTAAGATTTGGTACAATTTGATTCTACTGACTGCTTCAGATGGAAATCACATGACCCCTTACCAAAAAATCAAAGTCTGATTATTCACATTGTACAAAGTTACTGAGAAAGTGGTCAAGAAGTGAATAGAATACAGAAAAAGTACAGACTTGCAAATTGCGGAGATTGAAGAGTGCTTTGAAACACTCCGTGGAAAGGTAAGGAGAAATGGAGTTTCTTTTTCCTGACTGTCTCTAATGGGACTTTTTCTTCTGGGAAGGTGCAATCTGGCTTCTCAAAGGAATACGAGTCTGCTTTTAATATGCAAATTTATACTCCTATTTACAGAATCATAAGGATGGAGACTATGACAGTAAAAACTATAGATGGTTCCAGGCAGGTTAGGTCAGAATGTTGGCACGCAGTAATGCTGTGAGCAATCTCTGAAGCTGTGACTGCCTGAGCTGATGCAGACTATCACCCAAAGATAAGGCAAAAAAATGGTAGCCCAGGAGCAATACAAAATCCATATCAAAATGTCCTTGAATCTGAACAACTCATCTCTATCAGCTGAGCAGTTCAGCATAGCAGTGGCACCATATCATTTCATCTAACCATTTCCTAGTCCGCAGTTTGGGCTTCATCTGCTATCACATCTTCTCCATCGTTAAAAAACAAATTAAAAAAAAAAACAACAAACATACACACAAAAAAAACCACAGCAAATTTCCTCTCTGTATAAAGTGTTGCATATGTTTTGACAATTGAGAGACATTATTTTCTACATCTTTTTTTAGTTGTATCAGGCTTATTAGCATAAGGGTAATCAAATGAAAGAAAAGTAGTTAGCAATACTTTGAAAAATGTACAGTGTGCCAGTGGGATAGGTATCTTCTTTTTTTATGCGTAGGATTGGCAAAGCACAGGCTACAGGTTCCAGAGAAGACAAAACAAACTCTAACCAGAATAGCATGTCTAGTTCATAAAATAAATTATTAATAGTGACAGCACTGGAGGAACAGATAAAACTCCATGGAAAATGGAATCTACTGCTTGGAAGACACAGCAATGCCTACCACACTGCTCTTCTGTTTTTAAGGTGTTATTCCAGAACAACACTCAAAAGCAATTATGTAAAATTTTAGTTGTTTGCATAAGAGGATATGCATAACCAGACAAATGTAGGTGCAAACGTAGGTGCAAGTTTATTTTCCTGTGCTCCAAATGAGATAGCTGTGGTTCAGTTTTCATTTGCCCTTTTATCTCCTTGCAGTGCTAAATATATTAGTTCTTACTGGATATTCACAATATTCTATTCTGAATTTGTATGCAGATTTGTTTCTGCAGCCTTTTCCACAACATGTGGTAATAACACTTCTCTCTCCTGACTGCGCATTCTGCTTTCCTTCAATATTCCTTTGCTTCATGCCAAATTCTCCTCCACTCTGTCTTCCTTGCCTTATATTTAATATCCACAGTGAACACTGTAGGAAGCAATTGACATTCTTCTACAGCTTCTTTCAGAAAGAACTATCCTTTTCTGTGTTTCAGAACCAGTCCAGGAATTCAGACAGGATTCTGAACAGTGTTCTTTGCTGATTATTTTCTACCATGTGTCAGGAGATCTGCCTGACAGCAGGAATTCCTTGAGGAACTGGTTAATACAACTGTGGAGATACAAAACTGATTGTTAAGCTACTTCACATGAAGGAAAAAAAATTACACTGTGGAATATCCCAGTATGGCTCTTGAAACAGTTTTTTCTTTAAAAGTACATGTGGAGTTTGGGTCATTCCTATGTATCTTTTCTATGTGTAAGACTACAGAAAGATCCCTGATTTGTATTTCAGAAATATAAGATAGAATATCTTACCAAGACAGGACAAGGTGAGAAATATGTCTGTGGACAATCTAAATTCTTCCAAGACAATACCACGGCAGTGGACAAAAGAGCTCTATATAACCATTCTTCTCCATCTTTCTTCAGAAGTATGATAATGAATTTTCAGCCACAATCAGACTTTAACAACAGTATCACTGCATTAATGATGGAAAGAATTTACTTTTTTTGTCCTGTTATCTTTGACTGCAGAGCTGAGCATTTCTTATCTTTTCTCCTTATGCTCTGAACACCTTTATTATATACATGAATTATTATTTCCCAGCCATTCCACATTCCTAATGAAATCCTCTGAATAACGGATGTCACAGACCCTCTCTGCGGAACAACTAAATCATCCGCTGTACAAATGTGATTCACTTTCTCTTCTGTTTCCTCATTGCATAAATATTCTGATCCCCGTACTGAGAACATGTATCGGCAGTGCTCAGTCAGGCTCTTGCGTAAAAGGAACTGCCTGAGAGTGGACAACTGATGCGTGTATATGGAGGGGAATCACAGCTGCGTGAACAGGGCTGTGGAGAAGGGGACTCACCATGGCGTGGCCAGTGGAATGACAAACGTCCACCAAGATGGTTATTCCTGACTACCACAACAAATATTCAGGGCTATGTCACTGAAGAGAAGGTTGAGCAATATTTGAGCATATCTGTTTAGAACTGAAAACTGGACTTGTTCCCAGCCCTTCTTTGTAACCCAGAGCTTACAGAGATATGCCAAAAGTACACTTACCCACCCGAGGTGTGCCAGATACAAAGTGGGTAGAGCACAGAACGTTTTAACCTTGCAGCTACACAGACAGCTTTCAACTGCATCTCTGTTTAAACATTCACCATTACAGTACCACCTAATTCTCATACTCACAGACAATGAATATGCAGTCTAGATCATCCCCAGCAAAATACAGTTTGTAGCTGTAAGGCAATTACATATGCCAGGACCATACCACCCTGTACTTTTTTGCCAAAATAAACACATCACAGTGGAGAAATCCATATGTTGTTTATGCTTTACAGAACACACCTCTTTGGCTGACCAGGACCATGGGGAAGATTTGAATGTCACAATAGTCTTACTGAAAATGAACAGAGATTTTTTTTGTTTCTCACTGGTACAGCATTTGTGAAATATTGAGCAAGATAATCTGATACATTTTAAAAAATAGGATTTTTCAATTTTATATCTGTGATTTTTTATCCAAAGAGAAATTCAAATAAAACTTCCATTGGAAAATTTATCCTCTCTGTAAATATACCCTGTTTAACTAAATTCACTGATGTCAAGTAAGTCCTCTTTCTTAGAGGAATGGTATTGATACAGGCATAATACCTTTACCATGATAATAAGTAAATGTAGTCACAAATCTGTGGTATTCTTTCTTTATTTTTCAGTTGATGTCGCACCTGATCGAGGTGACAATATATTTAAGGATATTAACTTTTTCCATGTAGTCATTTGACTTAATACAGCATAGCATCAGTGCAGAGACGTCAACGGGAGGTTTTAGATAGGAAAAAAATACTCAAAAAGTTAGGAGAGGTTTGCCCCTGGGGAAGGCTTTTGTTCACCTTTGCAGGCTGGGAAGTGGCCAGCTGTGCAGCAGCACCACTCACAATGATCTGGTGACTGGACAAAGCTCTAAGCAAACTCTGACTTTTCCATGGCAAAGGAAATAAAATATTTACTGTCTATGTCACCTCTGTGAGGTTCACAGAGTTTTGTGCAGATGCCAAAACTTCTGTGTTTACACAGAAGTTCTTCTATGGTTGCACTTCTAACAGTGTTTACCCAAAGTTGCTATATTTTTAGATTCAGATGTTTTAATATCAAAACCAATGAAGCAGTAATTTTTGAGTAATTTTTTCTTTCATTTATTGTCAGAAATGGATGTTACTCTGGCTGAATTTATCAGGTTTGCCAAGGCTGCCAAGACTTCTTCAGTAAAATGAACCAGGGATTCTACATATTTCTCTGATTCATCCTCATCTTTGATACTCACTTCATTGTTCCAACCTTATATCATTAAAAGATGACACATCTTAGCACATTTCACTTTAGACAAGCACTTCTGACTCAATGAAAAATCTTTCTCCTATCCAAATTTCAAGAAATGACAACATATCCATACCTGACACTTGTTTGTTTTTACTTTCCTTAATTGTCTCTCAATCAGTGCGAGTGAGTGCTGATGAAAAACCTTGGGAAACTAAGTTATTATCTAAGTTGTTAGTGGTCTGCACTGCATATTATTTCAGCATGTATTCTGTTTGTGCATGACATGCATGGAACAGTGTGGCAATGGGGAAAAAGCTCACGTTCTTGTAAATATGCTTATTATTTACTTATTTACTACTTATGACTGTTGCTATTTAATAATAAGGTGAAAAGAACCCACATTTTAATGTTGTGCAAATATGGAAATAAAATCTTAAAAATGAAATGTAATTTAGTTCTTATTGCTTCTATTTTGTGGTATAAATATATATATATTTTTTTAATTGTAATTTAATTGTACATTTAATTGTAAAGGTAAAAATAATTGTATTTTTAATTGACAAAAATAATGTCTTTCATTTAGTTCCGTGGAAACTACAGCACATACAAATACCACAGTAACACTATTTTTTAGAGCAAATTCTCAGTTATAAAACACTATTTCTCAATACAGTCATCACCATTTGCAGATTCACACAGATGAGCCGATTGAGACATTCTTCATTTCATGGTACGACAGCTGTGCGTGGCCATCTGGAATGTGGCTTGTCTTTTGTGTCACTGTCACCACTGCTGAAACACACCATCCACCTCCTCACTGTGTTCACATCCACTGTTTGTTCTCCTTGAACATTCAGCAAGCATAGACAAATGTCATCGGGTGTCATCTGAAATAGAAGCTGCTCTGTAACATGGTCATTGGCTTGCAAAAGATTTGTTCTGTGTTGGCACATTTGACATGCCAATACAAACTGCAGCATTTACCTAGTTTCCAGCATCACAGCACAAAATATTGTATCATATTCAGTAGTCTGACAGTGGACCTAAAGGAAGCTATTCATGGAATGAGAGAAAGAAGGAATTCAATAGTTTGTATGGTTGGTTACCAAGCTGCAGATCAGGCCAGCAGCCTGTTTGTTTCAATTTTGTGTTCCTTCTCACACTGCAGCAACAATTCCACAGTACACAGGGCTCCAGAGGAGCAGAAGGAAGCTCATCCCCGAAGCTGAAGAAATAGCTGTGGTAGGAATGCAGCAGCTAGAGATGGAGCTGTTTGGACATGCTGCTTCTTTGCAGTTACCATAGAGTGCTTGTGTTCAAGATCCTCACTATGATGTATTGAGTATGTATGCAACCTCAAAAGAGAAAGCAGACAAAAATGACATGGTATCCAGGCTAAGCTGAATATGGCAGCCTGTGGGTGTGTTCTGCTCTATGCTAACATAGTGAAGTGAAATTTTCTTCTCTGCAAACAGCATGCTTCGCTGAGTTAGTTTGGGTTTTATAACTGCTATGCAAGTATAATATTTAAACCTCTATGTTCTTTTCCAGAAATGCCACTTATAGCTGGGAGCAGCTGCATAAACTTTGTTTACATGCTACTCCTACAGAAAGGCATTTGTTCTCCGACTGTTGCTCTTCTGTCCCATCAACTGAAAATACTACCCTGAGGCCTGCACCACAGAGGCATTTACACAGTGGAAACGCAGGAAAAGTTAGGGAAAACACTACTCACCATAATACACCAGTTTCTGAGCACCACATGGCAAAGCTGAAACCAAGAAATACTGGGAGGCAACTGTGAGAAGGGACAGTTTCACTGTTTTGAAAAAGTATCACAGCTAGCATGATCACCTTGATGCCTCTTCCAATCCCACAAAACTTCTAATCACATGTTTCACTTATAAATCATGAAGGAGAGAATCAGTGTAGCAGTCAAGAATGTTGAATATTGCCTGCGTTGGTGTCCCCACGCAAGGCCATCATTCTGCAGTACGCTAACAGTATCCAGAAAGAAGTATAAACCTCATGTGCTCCCAGATAAACACAGTAAGCATTTTGCTGGTATTTAAACTTACTTCTTTAGGTAAAGTTGTTAAGATGGCTTAAAAAAAAAAAATAAAATGGATTCTTAAAACACAGTTTGTGGCAGGGACTTTCAGAATTATTTTTTTTTTAAAGTCAGATATCACAGTATGGTTTTCAGGTGTCTGTCATGACTCAGTTTTGTAACCTTCTAAAAACAAAAACTTTCTGAAAACCCCACCGTCTTGTTCTTTGAATAAATCAGCAGCAGCCTAGGAAAACCACAGACTCATCACTCTCATATTTAAAAACAAAAATCATTAGCCCCAAGCAAGTTTAATTAAAAATACAGAAGAGTATACAATGCAGAAGAAATAGGTCAGGAAGGAATAATATAAAACAAAATTACTTCTTGAAAATAGTCCAGGAAAATCAAGGCAAGTCTGGACCCAGTCATTAATGATATCAGGGAGGAGATGGAATTGTGAAGGGTAATAGAGTCATGGGAAAAACAAGGACATCTGTTATCCAAACAAAGCTGCAAAGCATTTCTGTTGATTGTTTTGTGAAGAACGTTACTTTTCCACATACGGTTTGTGGTACACAGGAGAGGTTACACTCTAGTCTCAGTGTGTTTGACTCTTTGACAATTTAGCTGATAACCCTCTGAATAATAAAAATTCTCCATCCACTCTTTAAAATGCCTAGCTAACTGGCATTTGATGTATAAGTCCAATATAGCATTTGCTTTGCAGTTCTGAAAGCTCATTCTGTAAAACACAGATAAAAATCACACCGACTTATAACACAGAGGTAATTTATTGGGATTAGCATAGTCAGAATCTAGAATATTATATACATTATTAGTTCGTTTAATATCTAGAGGCCTATAATCTATGATTCCTGTAACCTATAAAAATATTCATAAAATCAAGGGGTTTCAGCTACTCTGGTTCCTCTCAGTTTTTTGGTGATATCCCAGGAAGTTCAGTTACATCAGAGAAAATTTCCAGTAAGGATCCACCCCCTGAACACTTGCTTTATCATATCTCAAGTGCCATTCTCACAATAAAACAACTTTTCCTGAGATACGGATTCTTGAGCACAACAATATTCAAACAAAAGAGGAAGCCTTCAGGGCAATAAAATTATAATCAGACTCTGAAAATAAAACTTGGTAGGAAAACATCAAAAGACTGTGGAAAAAATCTGTTGGACTTTGATGAGAGCCATTCAATCACGTAGATCATATTATGAAGTGCTTTCATCAGTTGTTTCAATTTGCATGTTGATTACTTCACTTTCTCCTGGAATTTTAGGTACAGAAATTTTCCACTCAAGTAATGTGATAAAAATTTTCCTTCTGTGCTAAACTTCTCCTTTTTATGGGTGTTGAAAACTAATCTATTCCTCACTGTGCTCATTAGTTCTGCTTTTGGCTCCTGATGATTCCACTCCTGCTGGGTACAGTGAAAAATTTTTGCATACTTCTAGCTCTTTCTCTGTAAGTTTGTCTATATCTTTCCATTGTTTTTACTAAAATCTTCATGACGTTGTCAAATTTGTCAATTTGATTAGATATCTAGTTTTCTACTTACTTTTTGGACTTACCCATGTTGTCCCATTTGTCTTCCTGAGATACTTAATCATTGTATGGCAATTATTTACATAACTGCTCTACTCACACTTGCTTTCAGAGCTCTGCTACATGTCCGGCTCTGTGTCAGTCTGAATCTGAAGTTAGAGCAGACCCTGGAAATAAACATTCATAGTCATGACAGCCTTCCTTGGCACTTGAGCATCATGAGCAGACAAGTGAAGGAGTTCAGACAAATTTGAAGTAAAGTTATCCAAGCAACATAGAAGAATCTCATCCTCCTCCACAAAGATAAATAAAAAATTGCTGAGGATGCAATCGCAGGCTGCTACAGCATTTAAGGAGGACGAATTGCACACAACTGAGGTATGGATAGAGCAAGGGTCATCAAATAGACTAAAGTCTCCAACTTACTCCCAAAAGAATGAAGACTGAAGGAGAATGCACCGAGAACAAATTAAGGAAGACGTGACGTGACTGGATGGAACTCAAGCAGTGCTGTCAGATGCTTAGACAGTGGAGAGTTTTCTCACACTGTTGGGAATGCAGGACTTACAGTGTTCAGTCTCTTCCTACTGTCTTAAGTAAAATAGAAATAATACCACCAGTATTTTTCTTTCCTGTGTATTTCATAATTATAGTTGTCACAAAATAGCACAAAATGGGTGGTTTTATGAAATCCAGACAACCATTTAGACTCATAACTTGAGTCAGACGGTGCTAACCTTATACTCCAAGGAAAGCAGGTCTCTCTATCTGTCTCAAGTAGGCAACACTCATGAAGGAAATTAGTACCACCCTGTACTCCAGCATCTCTTCCGATGGATGGAGTCTATATATTAAAATGCTAGTTATTTCTCCTCTTCTGTGCTGTTCTCACACAGCAGGATGTGCCTATCACAGCCTGCCATGCCACTGTCCCTGCAGACACATTATCCTGCCCTGCCTTGTGTTTGAGTCTTCTCTTCAGGATACAGGAAGAAGCATGAAACAGTAGAAAAGTCTTCCATGCTAGTGCCCTATTACCTGGCCTCTGTGGAGAGCATCTCCAGACATTTTCCAGACATTCAGGGTCTTCAGACATTTTCCAGAAGGAAAATACAATGGCTGTGCCTCCCTTTATACACTAGTGTTCATTGCTGTTATTGCTGTCAAGGAGCATAAATCGACTGTAC